AAACGTTTCGCCCCATCGGTGACGGGCGTTGTTGAGAGAGACGCGTCGCCGGCGAAGAGAACGCCACTTTAATCGTATTAACGGCGAAGGACCCGCCGCGAGAAAGTAGGCCGCCGGAGAAGACGGGAAATTAAAGGAGTATTAGAAGACGGGTTATGAGAAAACAGGCCTCTTTCTCTTTCTCTCACCTCTCTCTCTCTCTCTCTCTTTCTCGCTCTCATTCTCNTTTCCCCCCCCCCCCCCCCGGTCTTATACCCTCTTTACTCTTCGTATAAATCTTTTTCGTCGGGAAATTCGACGGCGCGCAAGATGAAATTTATGAACTCGAATGCCGCTAGGACTTTCTTGTTCCTCGTAAAAGGAAGAAAGCGGATCCGCGAGACACTTAACTCGGTAACTTCGGCGGGGTCTATGGGGAGAGCAGCCAATTACTTCTCCCGGGCGAGGCAAAGAGTAAAATTCGTAACGGAAGATCGCCGATACTACGGCTCGGCGAGAGCAATTCTGCGTTGACGTATCGCGCATCGGGTTTCGAAATGAAATATCCTGTTTCCGGTATCGTTCGATCTCTTATCGAACGGGCATTTCAACTTTGTCGAGAGACTGCATTATTAGAATCGACGCTTCTCTCTGTTCGTACTCCCGTTACCCATCGGGGTCGTGACGATAAATAACGCGAAATAATAAGTGGGCGATCAATTGAACGTTATTAAACCGTTCGATATCGTGATCGGCCGATCGCTATTTTTACGCGGCTAATATTGATATAGAAACGGTCATATAGCAACATGAGCTCTTTGAGCCTTTGCGTAAAAACCGCGTCGTATAAAAACTGTGTGAAGAAAGCGTCTATTTTGGGACATCAATTTCTTGCCGGTTCCAGCTGCAGTCCACCGTCAACTAATTCTCATCAAACCCGTCGACGTTGCCTCCTGTCACTTTTTCCCCCTCTCTCTCTCTCTCTCTCTCTCTCTCTCTCTCTCTCTCTCTCTCTTTTTCTCTCTTTGGAATTTGCCTGCTACATTACGTACTGCGCGTCGTATCAAGCTTTTACGATGAGCGCGATTACGCTTTACGGCAGATCGCAAAATCTATATTCCACGCGCAAGTTTCACAAGCTTACGCCATTTTCTCGTGAAAATTGACAAGGAACGATTGCCGCCGTCGGCAAAGAGCTTTCCTCCTCTCATCGCGCGCAATTTCGACGCCGCGACGACTCGGGCTCCGGGAAACGTCGCGCGTCTCGCGTTTAGCCTAGCTTCCGCACGTTGCAATTTGCGGGCTGAGAGAAAAACGAATCGGCTTCTCGCGTCGCTCCGACGTTGGGGGGGAAGGGGGAAAAGTGGGAAGGGAAGATACGGTCGATTCGACGGACGTAATTAGCCGCTTTCGTCGCCCGGTCGGCGGATAACTGGCGCGTCGAAAATTTTCCCTGGAAAATTACTGGGATCGTGGCTGCTCCCGGCGGGTACGACGCCGTAAAATTTCACGGTATCGTGCCGCGAACAATATCCCGATATTCCCCCGCTCTCGAACCCACGTCGCGAATACGATACCCTAAGGGCCTTCGCCATGGTTACTTTTGTTCTACGACCAGCGTCGGGCGCGCCGGTACCGCCGATATCTCGCCGTTTCTGCTCCGCACATTTCCAGGCAGTCGAAACGTCAACGCGCGCATGCACGTGATGCATTCGATGCGCCGCCAACATGTACGTAACACGTAGCAAACGATCCAATCAATATGTAACAAGGCAAACGTATGCGGAAAATGGATGTGTAAATGATGCGTGTCTGAAAATTACGCTCCTCTCCTCGTTGTATTACGAAAGCTGCAATTTTTCGAACAACGGCGTTGGAAAAAAAGGGGGGGGGGGAGATATGTATATATATATTGCGTTATATTCGACATATAATAGATCGCAACTTTTCTCCGGGAAAATCTGAGAATACAAGTGACGTAATGAACGAGGGGGCTGAATGAGGTATAAAAACCGTGATAGAAAAATGATTCCATGATATTTCGCCCCTGATAATGCTGTCGGAGATCTTAGCGAAAATATGTTGTAAAATTTCACGATACCTTGCCACGGACAATATCCCGATATTCTCCGTTTCGGAGCTGCATTACCGATACGATACCGCAGGGGGTTCCGCTACTGTTATTCTCGGCCCGCAGTCGTTTGAGTTCACTGCCGCGAATAAATACAGTCTTTCCAGGCAGGAATTTCGAGCGCTATAAAAAAAAAAAACGTATTACGAGCAGCACCAGCAACACAACACGACATCGCCGCGTTCCTCGACTTGTCGCTCCATATATTACGCAAATTTGTCCCGCAAAGGTGTCATTTCGCATCGAAACAGACGGCAGCCCCGATCGACCGGTCCTCCCACTTTGAAAAACCGGTCGCGAGCACTTTCGCGTTTATTGAAATTTCGCGAAATTTTCAATTCGCAGTATCGTTGACAACGGCGGCGCCGAAGACACAGCACAGTGAAGACCGTCGCCGGTCGTAAACGACGAGGGATGCCGCCGGGGGGATGGGGAAACACCCGAATCGTCGGCACCAAGGATTAAGTAATATTTTCTGTCGGTACAATCTAAAATGTTAATTCGTCGAATGGTCGTACGAAACGTGCGGGAGGGGGAGGTGGGGGAGGGGCCTAATTCACCGGATAGCCCGAGTGCAAATTAAAGACGCCGTAGCGTCTATTCAGGAATAGGATTAACGAAATACTTAATGCAATCGCGCTCAATCTTCATTTAGTCGGGCATTCACGAAAACGAAATTAAGTCTTATGCAAGAATAACGTCTATCATTGTCAGAGGGAATAATTAATTTCCCCGCTTTGACGCTTGAAATCACCGCTGTTCTCCAGATAACAAGAGGATCTCGACGACGGAATTGCGCGAATCTATTTCTAAATAGAATTCCTCCCCGTTTAGTACTTTCCCCTGCGGGGAAAGGACGCGCGAGAGAGTACGTACGATACGCGAACGTTTCAGCTTGTAATTTGATCAGCTCGTATATATTAGTCTCTCCAGAGTCGAGTCCTTTATAGTTATAGCGACGTCTTGCCTGTGTCTAAAGGGAATCGACGGCTGTCGGGACGCAAATATTTTCTGAAACTTGAATGAAAAGGAGAAACAGAAGAGACAGGAATAACGTTCGCGATCTTTCCGCCATATTTTTCTAATCTTTTTCTAATTTCGTTTATTTATCTAATATTATAGTTTTTAATGTTAAATTTGTTAAGGCTCCCGTGTAATCACCGCGGTCATCTTACTTCACGATGTCGGAAACGGAGAAATTCACGCTCGGAATTCTTGCGGCATACGTCCGAAGAAAAGATATCCCTACGAAATAACATTTGTGATCGATCCAACACATTTACAAAATATTCCGTACACCTTCCTCTTTGACGTTACGAGGCGGGAAATTTCGTCGCAACGTCCATCTACGTCTACTTACTCTAATGAAAGTCCACCGTGTCCAAGAGTGAACATTTCCCGCGTTGAATGACGGACACGTGCGTACACGTTGATCACCGTATCCCCTCGTATCTTCAATGAAAGACGGCCGGTAGTCGTTCGCCGTCGCCTCCTCGCAATCCTCGAATTCTTCTGACATCGTCTGACATCCTCGTGACGACGCGAGGATTACTCCCGAGGGGCCGACAAGCGGCTCGCTACGTGTATGAGTCGTCAAATTATCCTGGACATGGTGGTCGATGTGCATCCACCCGAGCCAACCGACCGACATACGCGACGACAGAACTCTCTTTGGGGTATATCGCGGTTTGTTTACCCGAAACTACCGTCCCAGGACGTTGCCGGAGGATCCGTCTCTGTCACTTCGTGTAGGGAGGGCTCGGGCGAGACGGGATGAGGAGGAGGATCGCGAAGACACGGGGTGAGAGACGAAAGAGTATGTCGCGTAACGACAGCTTATTTCGAGCGCGAGACGTAGCTCGGACGTCCGTCGAGAGGTAAGGTGCAGCAAGCCGATGACGAAGAATAGGGGTCGAATCTGAGTTCATCGGGCGGCCGACTCGCCTACTTCCGCGGCTCGCCGGCAGTTTATTTCCGCTCGACGTGAAGCGAGAGTCGATGGCTCGGCGAGGGCAGACGCGTTGTCCTAACGATGTGATTTATCGTCGCCCTACCGTAGCCCGACACCCCGTCATCGTCGGTACACACTGCCACCAGCGGGGGGACACCTATCCACGTCGATTTCTAGCTTATCGCGCGACCCTGGCGATAAGCGGCTTACAGGAAGTCTGTCGAAGAGCAAACCGTCGACGGCGTCGCTGAAATAGCGCAAACAACGAAAGTCGCATGGCTTAAGGACGGCTCGCGGTGATTACGTCACTCGGCTGCTACGATCTCCCAGCACCGTGTAGAGATTGCGGATCGTACGGGGGAATCGGCTGTCCGAGTCGGCGAGAGAGATCTCTCTCTCTCTCTCTTCCCCTCCCTCGACATCTCAGCTGCGTCGTTCTCGGTAACGCAAATTTTCCGGAGGAACTCCATCATCAAGCACGTCCGCTGACGTGTACATGTGCGATATCCCTGGCGCACGTTCTCGCGCTCAATTTATCTACGATCGACTCGAGGCCGTTCATATCGCGTGCGAATATCGCGGCGCGTTTGACGTTGTTAGTAAGTGCCAATTTAACCGTCGGCCCGCGATGGCCAATTCACCGATCTGTCAAACTGTCAACGGTGCGAGGACGGGCACGCGAGCACGCGACGCAAATGTCCAACGGATCGTGCCGGATGGCCCGGCGACGATGGACAGTTTTTAACCCTCGAGCCGAGGGGCCTCGTTAATTGAAATAAGTCCGAGTCAGGAGGGACAGAGACGGCGAGACTCGGAAGTACAATTTGTTCATCCCAGATACTTACCCCGAGCATTCCAGCGCCGATCGCCGGTTCGTTCCGCCCGTTACGCCCAGTGTCATTCGCGTTCGCGTAGAAATAACGACTGCGAACTCGTGCATATTAAACAACAAGATTTATTATTCATATATACAAACGTTTACATATTCATTTGACCATTTAATTAACCACGAAGCACGATAGAACATCCGTAGACAAAACATGTACGCTCTCCCAGACATTCGCGGATAGTTGACGGGTGGATAGAAGGAAGGAAGGAAAGGAGGAAAGAAGGGGGGGAAAGTGTTCCAATGTGGGAGAGAGGTGACGGAGATCTTAACGGCGGAAATTATTGTCTCTGTACACGCGCATAAATCGCGCCCGATGACGACTGTCTCGATCGACAAGGGTGGCAGGTCGTCCCTCACGACGCTCCCCGGAATGATCACGTATTCTCTCCTCGAGTACGAAGCTACCGGCTACTTGATCTTATCCTAGGTGAAAAACAAGAATAGGAATATCGACGAGTCGGAAAGGGGGCTCGGAAGGATGGTGGGTCCTTAACGGTATTTATTGTCTATTTACAGGCGTCGTTTAATCGCGGCTACGACGGTTTTTGGCGTGGGATCCGGAGGGGAGATCTCGTCGTGCGCTCCCCTCCCGTTTTATATACAACTCTCCTGTACGCGCAAACTCCTCGTGTAAATATCGTGAGTGCGGTGCACCGGCAGTGTGCTCGGTCGAATCGGGCTCAGGCTCTTCTCACTCTTCTCCACGTAGCCGTTCGGATAGATCCAGGAGTCCTTGGCGTGAAGCACCGACGAGGGCGACGGGTAATCGAGGTCCTCGAGATACCTGAAGTCTTTCGACCGCTCGGGCTTGTTGGCCGCGTAGCCCGGCTCGAAGATGTCCGGCCGTTTCTCGACCTTGCTCGGTATCACGTCCGGATCGTCGTCCGGCAATTCCGCGTTTATCTGCTCCTTCAGGTCGTCCCGCTGAGTCTCGTTCGTCGCCGTAGCCGTCGCCGCCGTCCCCGCCGGCGGCGGCGCGACCGCCCGATGGTGGTCCTCCTTGCTCTCGTATTGCACCAGCTCCGCCTGCACCTTCACCGACTGCGTCGGATGGTTGCGACGGTACAGGGTCAGCGTTATCCCGACGATCAGAATGCAAATAGCGGTTACACCGCCGGCGAAGCACGCCACCAGGAGGCTATAATCGGTCGTCTCGTCGGAAATCCCGCGACCTGAAGGAACAAGCGCAAAACGTGATTCGCGTCGTCGTCCTCGTCGTCGGAGCGACCCGTGAACGGCTCTGGAAACGGGCGTTCCAACCTAGTAACATATGGCGGACCGTGTACTTATACACGATCTGCTGTTCCCGAGACGATAAAAAAATTGATGGAACCTCGAAGACAGATTCCGAGTGGATACTCGGATCAGACGGTCTCGCAGTAATCCGAAAGGAACGACACTTTGTTTTCCATCTCTCTCTCTCTCTCGATAATACTCGGTGTCTGCGACTTTTTCTATCGTCTGGGAACAGATGTTTAACGAAGGCACTGGAGTAACTGTAATCGATCGCAACAGCGACGCTTTATTGGCCGCGGACGATGCACTTAACTGGCATGCTCATCATCACCGAGCTCCGTATAATTAACGGGCGCGCGTACCGGTTACCGTTGCGACGACGAAGAACATTTTGTGGATTCTGTCGTGTTTACCGCCGCGAAACTCTACGCGCGCGCGCGCGCACGCGGCGTACTCTGTTAGCTCATCCGATTTGATGGCGATACTTGCGAGATGAACACGGAGCGCGAGCGAGTTATTGATCGTACGAATGTCAAGTTAGTTTTGGACCATCGACAGTGCGCGCACGTCACAATTCGATAATTAAGCGGCAATCAGCCACATCGGATTAGTGCGTAACGATGGGAACGCCGCTCGAACGTTTTCTTTTGGATCCGACGAAATCGATTTTCATTAAACGGCGAAACGTATCGGCAATTTACAGCCGGAGGAGACGTTTTTTATCCGGGCGCTCTCGCGCACAAACACATTATCGTTCTTTAACATTACACGAGACTAAGGTCCATACGACGTGGCGTTGTCCGGCGAAAAGCGTAGCGTTGGAATCGGTGTATCGTTAACTTGTCCTTCTCTAATGCGACATGGCAGAAATCAATCGAATATGTAACTTTCCTATATTTTATTTAACTTAATATTTCTATATTCTCCTCGGAATACGAGAAAGAAAATGCGCGCGCTTCGCTCGCCTCGTTCGTCGCTCTCATTGCGCGGAAAAAATTTAATATCGATTCAAGATTCACATTCCCAAATATAATCAAGAATATTTGATCTTGCACGAAAATGAAACTTGTCTTTGCGTAAATTATTCATGCGTTATTCTCAAGAATAATTTTCACAAATTAAAGGGAAAACATAGAATGAACGATATCTTCAAGCCAAGAATAGTATTAGTGTAAATATCGTTCTTTCCATATCCATTATTTTTTCTTCTCAATTTATAAGAATTATCCTTGAACAACGAGAATATGATATTTTTAATGGAACTATATAGACTTCATATATAAGAGTCCCCCCCCCCCCNCCAGTTTTATCTTCGTATAAGAATATTTATTCTTCTGCTTATGTATATATCCCCATATCCTTGAATTGATACTAATTTTTCTTGCCGTGTAACCACCGGGATTGCCGTTAACGTCGGATCCCGAGGTCGTCCGAGCTGTTTCACCGATTTCATATCCCGCTGAAAACCCTTTCCCCCCCCGAACAGAAGACGTCGCCGGCCAGGAGGCGGTGATATCAAATCCCGCTGATTGTAGCGCGCTCGTCGCAAGATTAATAGCCGGTCGTTGCGCGCGGAACGTGTGATTTTCTAACGTGTAGCTGTGTATTCTCGGCCAGCAAAGAACATTCGTCCTCATCAGGATGGACAGCCGAACTGATGACGACATCAACAGCGTCTGGGAGTGGCGTTCGCCCCCGACGTGTCCGGTAAACGAGATTCGCTTTTTCCACCCGTACTTATTGGATCACGGAGGAAACGCAGGCAGCTTCCGGAAGCAAAGATTAAGAGGCAGGTGGGCGGAGGACCGGGTCCACGGACGGCGATGGCCAGGCTCTTTGGAATTCAGAAAACGCCTTGGTTCGTTAGCCAACGAACGATCTCTCTCTCTCTGTCTTGCGCGCGCAACCCCACGTGCATGTGTCTCTTTGTATGCGGTGTGTGTGTGTGTATACATATACACGTACACGTGCACGCGCATACATACGTGCACACATACACGTATCCACACCGTGACGCGCATACATCGACACCGTGGGAGGCCGCACAATCGAGAACGGGGTAGGGGAGGAGGACACGCGATTGCCGGGGTCCGTCATTCCGAGACCTCGGAAGCTTCTTCCTCTCCTCGCGAGCATTTCCCCATCGCTGTATCGTTAAGAGAGAATGTTTACCACCCCCGCGGGAATAGGTGGAAGCTGCCGCAAGATTCGGGAGCGAGTTTCGCGGGAGAGGGTTGGAGCGATCTCCCGATACGGTGGTAGTGGCGCGTCAGGATCCGGGATGAGCTCGGAGTAGCGCGCGTGCGTACACGCGTGTGTGTACGTGGATGCACGCGCGCGCCCACACAGCACAGAGGCACTTACACTCAGGCACGGGCATCGATGTATGTACAATTGTGCGCCCACGTCTCCACACAGTAGGATCGTGCGCGGGCCGGCATGAATAACCCATGAGGATGGAAATTAAAGACGATAAATGCAGCTGGAATGAGGCAGCGGCGAGGAAAGAGACTTGGGCTTTATGGGATTTTAATTCAAGGTCCGCGGGCCGGGTGCGTAGAGAGAGAGAGAGGAGAGCACGACGGTGACGGAACCCCGAGCGGCGGATGCAGCCGGTGGGGGCCGGTTTCTCAAAAAACGAGCGACCACCGGGAGTGGCTGGCCTGGCGTCGTATAATAATTGTGCGGGCGACGTATCGACGTGGCCGACGAATCGGATAATGCCCGCGCCCGATTTGGCACCGCTCGCCCGACGGCGGGATTAGTATTTGACCGTGGGGCGCGCCCGACGGCAGAAATGTGTCGCGACGAGCACCGATTTGGACGGCCGAGTCCGAAATGGATTTAATCGACGGCGGAATTTGAAAGTCTATCCGACGAGTTCGATAACCGAAATGGCGCGAGGCTACGTTTGTCGAATATTTTAGTCGGGGTCGCGCGCGCTCTCGCACGCAAATTCGACGCGCGCCGTACGGTCTAATATTTTACAACGGTNGGGGGGGGGGGGGCAATGATCGTGTACAATCGGGAGATTAGCTCGAATTTGTGGCGCCGCGAACCCGCTGGTAAACTGCGCGCGCGGTCAGCCGCGCTATTTTTCAAAGGTTAAAATGAAAAAAGATGAGTTTTCGCGCGAGCGGGCGAAGCGGCCGAAGCGAAGAGACAAAATTTCAGAGGGAAGGCCTCTGTAATTCACGGCACTTCGTTTAAACGGCCGCGCGCGCATACAGGAAAATACGAGGTGAGACTCGTTAGAGAACAGAGAGCGAGTCCTCTCTTTTATTTCTTTTTTCCCCCCTTTTCTTCCTTTATTTCAGCACCCGCGAGGCAAAGATTCCGAAGTCGGTCCAAATGCGCGTATAATTGCGCCGAGAATAAACAGGAGCCCTCCGCGACGTGTGCCGGCGTGTTTGCTTAATCTCACGGCGCAATTCGGTCCAATTAAGAGCCTCGGGTCCGAATATTCCGAAACTCTTTCCACGATGCGCTCGTTAGCGCTTATTAACCCGCCTCGTTGTTATTTTCCCTCCGAAACGTTAAGATTACGTAATGAAGGCGCGCGAGGGTTAATCACGGGTGGGCGAACGCTATCGACGTAATAATATCTACATACATTAAGACCAATAATAATAACCCCGGAAATTATACACCCGAGAAAGATAGCGCGACGTAGGCGCTCTTCGCCGCCGGCGAATGAACGCCTCCATCCAGCCGTTTTCGTAATCTCCAGCGACTTCCTCCCGTCGGCGTGAAATTCGCGTCGATAAAAGTTTATTCATCTGCGTGGCGCCCGCGACGAAGGCTCGCCGTTGGCCACTTCAAGTGCCTCCCGCGTGATGTTTGTTGATTCAAGCGTGCCGTCCGCTGCGAGAGAGATCGGCGCGATTTCGACGCGACGTCGGCCGGCAAACGCCACTCCGAAATTGACGATTCCGTTGGAATAACAGAGAGCGAATAAAAAGGTAAAAAGAGAGGGGACTTCTCCCGAGAGGAGGACTCACCAGTGGTGTACATCGCCACTCCCTTGAGCGTGACCGGTTCCAGGACAACGGGGTCGCTGCGACCCTTGGCATTGACGGCGTAAAGATGAAGTCTATAATTCCGTCCGGGTTCTAAGCCGGGAACCTCGAAGACCGGGCCGGATGAACCGGATCTATCGGTGTGGTTCAGGTAGATGGTATTGACATGATAAACGTTCTCTTCGCTGTAGACCTCGAGTTCGTAATTAGTCAAGGGCAAACCACCGTCGAATCCCTCGGAGCACCTGACGATCAAGCAGTCCGCGTCCCTCGAGTCGGTGGCTTTAAAGTCTTCGTGACCTGTTTTCACACGGACGCACACAGTTCGGCACGGTTAAACCCGCTCGCTCTCTCTCTCTCTCGAACGAACGAACGAACGATCGAACGAAGAAAAACACGCGGGCTCGCTCGAGCTAATTGCTTCCCGACGCGAACGTCACCGCGGCTAAGTACACCCGACTACGTCGATTAGAAGGGTCAGTTCGAATTAAATGGCTAATAATTCCGACGAGATTCGCGTCACGAGCGCTCGGCAGCGCGCGCTGCACCAGAGGGAGGACAACCGTAGTCGTTAGCGGCGAGAAACTTCGATTCGGGTTACCGACTGTGGCTGCACGAAGGACAACATTTCGCATCTGCTCGTCGAATCCGCGTTCGAGCTCCAACATTCATCTCGACCTCGAGGACGTTCGGCCGACACGGGATTTTCCCCGCTAGCCTCTTTCCCGGAATTCCCAGTCACGGGACATCTCGCGATGCGAGGCGCATACCGCGCGTCGATTGTCCGATTAAATTAATCGTGGAAGCGGCCGAGCGCCGAATCGATACGGAAGAACCGGCTAATTTTACGAGCGCGTTCACGCGGAGGCGGCGGTGTCTCGCATTTCTCGACAGGGGGAAACAAGGAAACAGGCTGTTGAGCGCGGGATCAACAGGGGCCGTAAGGCGTCATCTACGATGATGGTCGGGTGTAATGGCGCAGTTAGCGGGTCGTTGAGAGGGTTCCGGGGGAAGAACCCTCCCGTCGTCGCTTACCCATTCGATACGCGTAGGGTCCGGTTGACTGGAGGGCGGTGCAGTTCTGCAGGGGATAGGGTTTCCCGGCGACGATGATCTGAAAGAAACAGGGCGTCCTCTGCACCCCTATCCGATTTCTCGCCCGGCATGCGACCGTGCCGTAGTCCATGTCGTTCGCCGGCGTGTAATTCAGTCTGGAGCCGTGCCAGTGGGTCGTGATCAGGCTGAGCGGCTTGACCTGCGCGAATCTGGTGGCCGGCACGCTCATCAGCTCGCCGGAGTTGTTGAAGGTCCAGTGGAAGGTCGTGGGCGGCGGTTTCGACTGTACGCCGCAGACCAGCGAGATCGTTTCGTGCTTCAGGGCGCCGACCACTTGGGTGGAAGAGCCGTCCTTGCAGATCGGTGCGTCTGAAAATACGAGCGGGCGCCGGCTGGTAGATTCAATTTACCGCGCACCCGTGGCGACGCCCTTCGTGAGGAAAATAAGCGCGACCGCGTGAAGCGCCCCGGCGGTTTCTCATTTCCATTCCCCGCGGCGGCGCCCGATAATTGACGCTTCTATGTAAACCGCGATTTACCGGGGCTTCTCGATAATATCGGCCGGTGTTGCGATGGAGACGGGGAGAGGGAGGAGAGCGACGAATGCATTAATAAAATTAGAATAACGACGTCGTTACGTAATACCGCGCGAGCGGTAAGAATGATGAATTAAGAACCGTCGCTGCCTTCCTCCGAGCCGAATTGACGCGTCGATAACCGTCGACGGCGGATGGCGGAAGAGAAGTGTAATGTACTCACACATCACCTCGAGGGTCACGGGTCTGCTGGTCGATTTCCCTTCCACGTTCGCCGCCATACAGGAGTACTCCCCGGCGGAAGCTTTCGTCACGCTCTGCAACACCAGCGATTGCCCGCCGGGAAGAATGATCCCGGCGGTGGCGTTCTGATGCAGCTCCTTGCCGTCTTTGAACCAGAGAAGCTTGTACGACCTGGGATTGGCGCGGACCTCGCACTCGAAGTAGACGTCGTCGCCCTCGTTTATATCGTTCGCCTTCAAACTGGAACCCAACTTAATGCTCACCACCGGAGCGTCTGAAAGCATCGGCAGCGAGAAAGAGAGAGAGATACCTCACGTTCTTTTCTTGCGATCTCACGCACAATAAGACGGCGAGTGTAAGACTGTTAATCGAACAGCAACAGGGGGCAGCCTCGTGTTAAGAGCCGCCGGAGAGAGAGAGATAGAGGGAGGGAGAGAGAGAGAGAGAGAGAGAGATTACGGGACGAGCTCGTAATGTGTGATACACTCGCGCGGACAAATGCAGTGACTTACAGTACACCAGCAAGTGCCATTTGTCCTCCAATGCGCTGTTGGCCACCACGGGATTCTCCGCCCTGCACGTAAGAAATTTCCCGTCGTCCTCGATCGTCGGCACGTAGCTCAGCACACTCCTCGTGACGTTCGGACTGTCTGCGAACTACGAAGAACTCAGAATCCTTCGTCGTCAGGCGGACACGCGGACGCGCGCCGCAACGCAACGGCGCCGCATAGCGCGGTGCGGGTACTCACATTTCTGGCCATGTGTTTCACTTGATGCGTGCCTTTCCACCAGGTGATCACCGCCTCCGGCTTGGAACCCGAGCTCAGACACTCGATCTCGTACGTTCTTAACGCCGATAAGTGCGCTTGCTTGTTCGTGATGTTGACCACCAACGGTTTCACTGTAACGGAAAGAGAGAGAGAGCGGCTCGCCGATTCAACGAACTACTACACGTTCGTTCCATTTACCATCGGCAATTCTCCGATGAAATAATCGCCAGCGGAAAAGTTTATTTTTTTTATTTTTATCCCGACATATGTTGGGGCAGTTCTGAACCGACCGAGCAGGAATATTAAACGTCGTTAAATTTAGCGTATACAAATAGAAGAATTAATTATAATTGAGACGACGAGAAGATTCGATATCCTTCCTCCCGACAATTGTGAAACGCGATACAAAACGCAGAGAGGGAAGAGAACGTAGTCCGAGGGGCTTCCGATCGATTGCGACTCACGATCGTTTCTCACGACGCGTCCAATTACAATTAGCGCGAATACGATCCCCGATTACTCACGGTTCACATCCAGAACGATCTCGGAGAAGAGGGGCGTCATAAGCTGCGTATTGTTCGCCTTGCAAATTAGCCGGGCGCTCAGGAAGTCCCTGGTGACCTTGGAGATATCCAGTCGATTTAATGTTATATCGTCGTGCTCCTGCGTGTACGTGTCGTCCACCATTTCGCCCTTGAAGTACCACGCGACCTTTGGCGGAGGCGACCCTCCGAGCACTTCGCACAACAGGGACATCTCGCTACCCTCGTTAAACGGCTGCAGCGTTTTAGCCGAACTCCTGCTGGCGTCGGCATATATCACCGGCTTTTTCGGCGGCACTGTCAGCAAATTGAATTTCGATCGTAGAAATTCATTTCCGCGATATCGGCGTACGATGTGCCACCGTTTTATATATATATATATATATATATATATGCGTATGAGTATATACGTGTGTGTGTGTGTGTAAATTTTATATGTACGATTTACTTTTTCATCGCTGTGCACGACGAGATCGATTTTACTCTCGTTATAAACTTCCGCCGCGCTTCGATTTATCGTAATATAATAATTAAACACAGATCCAATTATTCGAATTGATTCACAATGGCCGCCGCAAGCAGAAATGAGATTTACGGTTGAAACCACCGTGCATTTACGAAGCCGGCCGACGTTATTATTAAGTTTCCGCGTCGCGGAATCGCGCGTGCGACGAACGACCGGTCGGAAAATTAATAAGACGTGTAACGACCGGCTCTTCGATTTATGTTTTCCTTTTTATCCCCTTTTTTTCGTATTTCCCGTTCGATCAACGCGCCGGTAACGCGAGATTAACACCTGTTGAGTCAGCACTATGACGACCAATTAATTAATTCAAAATCGTATTAGACACCGCTGAGTGAAGCCGCATCGACCTTACAACTAGACGCGTATCCGAGCCGCCCCGATACTACGTTTGTTCTTACAGCTCGCTGGAGCCGGTTCAACCGCATCTGCCGATTCCGTAACTTCGCTTCGTCCCGCGGCTGCATTTCCGCATGACTATCCGTTAAACAGCCGCGCGGAAAACGCCCCGATAATGGCGAATCGGGAGTGCCTTTCCGATTTGCCGCAGTTTTCCGCGATTACGTAACGTATCGTGTATCCGGCTCGGATGCGCCGCTGGGGAAACGAATGAGTCAGAACGCGATGAACGGAGGCAGCGGCGTAGCCACTCTTCCTCCTCTCCGATATGCGCCGCCCGATTAAAATCTCCTAAAGCGCAATCCGCCGCCCCGCCGACGTAGCTTGACAAACCGCGACAAAACCGTTCGATAAACCGTTATTAACCGCGCGACACGTCCGTCCGTAATAACGTACGATTGCCACGGTGATGTGTAATTAAACATATATATATATATACACAAAAGTGTGTGTGTGTGTGTGTGTGCGCGCGATTAAACGGGATGGAGAGGATCTCTCCGGGTCCGGGGTGGTACTCACCTATGACTACGAGATTAATTCTCTGATTCTTCGTCGGGCTGTTCTTAAAATCCACCCTGCATCTGTACACGCCGCCGTCGGTGGACTCCAAAGGATCTATCTCAAGCTCGGTGGGCTTTACGTTCGTCCTCATAACCGCCCTTTCACCGAACACGTACGGATCCGACCAAAGCTTCGCCTGAGTTATCTGCCTCCCCCGAGCGTCCATGCTGTATATCGGTTCGCCGTCCTTTTCGTCTTTGTACCAAAATACCATGGTGACCGTCTCGTCTTTACTCGGCGGATCGATGTCGCAGGGTATCTGAGCTTTGAAACCGGCCACCGCGCTAACGTCTAATATAGGCACTGAAAAGCACGCGGAAGCGACAGGGTTATCCTTGCGTTGGTAACACCGTTCGTCCTTACCCCCCGCGACTTCTCGCCCACTCGGACGCTCACGAGATCACGCGGAAATCTTTTCGCCGTACTTCGGACAACAACCGGCGCATCTTACGCGTCCATGGCGGAAAACAGAAAGAAATCGCCATGGGAATTGTTACGCGACCGAAGCGAACGCCTCCCCCGACTCGAAATCGGTCAAACAAGCTCGTTACGCGGTTGCTTCGTGCACGCTCGCTCGAAGACACCGTGTATAATCCCCTGATTTTCGCAAACATGCAAGTAATACATATATTTTCCGTCGCGGTTAGGTGCTACGCATTACAAGATCCGCCGTGCGCACGACGTATACGATAACGCGATTCTCCGGCGGAACTATTTCCCGGCAAATCGTGGGCGCGCCGCGCCCTGCGTCTCTGCGGCTACGCTAACGGGTCCCGGATCCGGTAACACGGACCCCGGCCGACCGTACGTTTTCTCGGCGAGACCGCAAATTTGGAGTTTTAGTCAGTCACCGTCGGCGCCGATCGAGTTACTGCAAATTGGTCGAAGCTCGCTCCGAAAACCGGAGGCAACGTACCGGGCGGCGTGCACACGAACGCGCGCGCGTGCCCGTGAATACAGAAACAAAAGTTTCCGAGGCGCACGAGGCGCGCATCCCCGCCCGCCGATGGACCACACGACCGAGTGAACCCAATTAATCGGTCTGGTTGCCGATTTATACCGGCGGCCGACGCGCCGGCCGTGGGCGTGATTTTATTGGCTTTCATAGCCGTCTCATCAATCGTCCCGGCGTCTAACACCTGGTCTGGCCGCGGTCACGTTATCCTTCCTCTCATCGACCTTAGAGCGTAATGAGCGTCCTGAGAATTATCGCCGTCGAAAAGCGACGTCGACCTCGTCGCCGGAGACCTCATCGGCGGCCGTTGCCGCAGGAGATTAATCGAGCGCGAACGCGCGCGTGCCCGACGTGTATCGGCTTTTTCCACTGCGGGAGTCGACGCCGGACGGAACGGCGCAACGTGACGCGACCGCCAGGGGTGAGAAACGCAGCGTGGCGCCGGAGGAACGACGCATAATCTGACGTTTATCGAGGGTGTCAATCCCGATGCCGATCCCGGGATGGAGAGAGTTCGGAGAAAAAGTTCGCTTACGCGGATATTTCATAGATGCTTTCTATCGTTGAATTCATTATCGCTGTCTATGTATAATAATATATGTATTTGAGAAATATATAAGTAATTTCATTTATATTCATCGATATATATATGTATATAAAAATTATTGCATCACATATATTTAATTAATATGTTGTATATATCATATATAATATAAATTACACACACGCACATACACATATATGTACGGGGGAAAATTTGTCTTAAATCAGTGATAGATATTTTCATATATAAGCAAGAATATTATAATCTTCTTAGATTGTTTTCTCTTGATTTGTGATCGAATTTGTATTAATGCAAATATTACTTGCACTCAATTCAAGACTGAAAATCTTCTAATAATATTATTATAATCTTTCTTATATAAAAATATCTATCATTGATTTAAGACTATTTTTCTCTATGCACTTGTGGACACACATGTTTGTTTAGCAATATTTCATTTTAATACGTTCACTTCAAATTCTTCAGGTCGCGATTTATTTTGAATTCTTTCATAATATCATTTGGATAGATCAGTCGCTTAAAATTCATATACATGTGAATACGGACTTGAATATAGACGTGATCGTTAAGCGACTACCGCTCCGGACGCTGAGACACGCGATTCCCACGGAATACAGATATCCTCCGCGGCTCCACACTTACGGTTGCTTCTCAAGATGACGCGGGAGCGAAATTTCGATATTAATAGACCCACGATCGATTATCCTTGCGCTCACGACGACCCGGATACGCTGCGCGCATCCAAATTCTGCGTGCTACGGATGCCACGAGCTCTGAGACTCATCGCCGACGATGGCGGTGTTAATAATACGCTGTGTAATTAATGCCGGGTGATGAATGAGCGTACGCACGAGGCAACTCGTTAACCACGACAACGAGCACGTGGCTCCGCTTTCGCACCTTTGCGTCCCTAATACGTGACTCGGAATATTCACGCGATAATGCGCGCGCGCTCGTTCGCTCGTTCGCGCGTACATATCTGCGTGTCGCGCTCTGGAGTTACGCGCGTCGACTCGCGAACGAACAAAAATCGCAATCTGCGAAACGGAAACACAATGTGTCGTGTAAGAGTTTGGCAACAAACAACGAGAACCATAGCGAGATGACACGATGCACGACATACAACGCGAATCATACCCCGCGAGGCGTACTCGCGATTTATCGGATTTCGCGAATTTCTGCGAGAACCACCAACGACGTTACGGTCACAGGACGATATTTGGGGAAGCCTTATTCCGGCGACGTTAACGGTCAGGTTACAGACATAATCAGTTGCGAACGTGCCGATTAAACCCCCCGGGGGGNGGGGGGGGGGGGGGGGGAAGGAGAGAGGCGCTGCCGGAGAGTGAGAGAACGGGTATCGTTAATGCTGCAATTAAAATGTTAATAGCACTGGCGAGTCCTATTACCTCGTTAAATCCTCTCATGAACCTCGCAAATTGATGACTTAGACAATGAGCCATCGACAGACTCCGCGCATATAGAGAGAGAGAGAGAGAGAGAGCTTTACGTATTCCATGCGTGCGCCGCGTTCGTGTGCCACCGGCGCGTCCCGTGCTCTCGCACGCGCGGCGTGTATCACGTTTACTTGAGAGCGTGGCGAATATCCGTTCTCGGGTAACGCGGAACACATACGTATCCGCCGACACGACGATCCCGGAGTAATTATTCAAAGCAAACATGAGCGCACCGTCGTGGATCGGTAATACATCGCATTACCCGCGCCGTGTATACACGGAACCGCGCATACGGATTTAAGCACGCGTCATGATGCGAGCTACGGGATGCGAAGTAGCTCACCGATTGCGGGACGGATCGAAATTGTTGACCTCGCTCGACGACGACGGCGGCGACGGCAATGCGCGTCGCAAGCGTTTCGCGATGAATTCGCGCGGGATCGTGCGAATGTAAATAAAAGTAAAAAAAAAAAGGGGGGAAGAAAAATCGGGCCTGGGAATCGACAATTCGTTCGTTCGCCCATCCGTCCGTGCGTTGAGTGCACGGCGGTCGAAATAAAACGAGACGCTTCGTCGTTTTTCCGGAAAATATATATCGGACTCCGACAGCCGACTCTTCCTACGAGCGCCCGAACGTCCGAGAGTGTTGAGATTTTAAATTCTACATTGAGTCTTCAGGAGCGGAAGGAGCGAAAATAAATTCCCACTTGTGGCGTCTAAGAAGCGCTATTTTAATGCTGCAAATGGGAGACCTCCGGAGTCCAAATTTCAGTTTTATATTAAGTCTTCAAATGGCGAAGGCGGAAATAACTTCCTGTTTGTAACATCAAGGTAGCACAATAGAAAACCTTGGAAGACTTAATGTAGAATCAAATAGACTCAGGCGGGTTTCATAGTCGGATCTTATATATTTGAGACCGTCTTAAGTTCATCCTCAGATCTTTTCGTAGCCAATGAAATGAGCCGTACAGCATCTGAAGATAAACTTAAGCCGGTCTTAAATGTAAGACCCGACTATAAGTACCAGTCCTGACGTCGAACGAAAATTTCGACTCGGGGTCGTTGCACAACATTGATGTTTTCTCCGCCCCCCCTATCTTTATCTAATACGCAAATTCAATTTCGCGTTGCCGCGCCGCGTTTGCTCCAATTTGAAAGTGTGAGAGGTTGGTAATTTGACCGAAGCACCGCTTGTAAACATCGCCGGAGTGCAAACGTAGAAGCGACTTCTTCCCTGTAGATTCAGGCGTCGTTGGCAAACCGACCTGCTTCGCAAACATACAGACGGTAGAATCCAGCGCGCCCGGCGAGCGATAAAAAGAAAGTGGGTGGATAGCGATTCGAGGACGAGGCGGCGCGAGTCTCACGGAAATTGTATTTTGCATATTTTCATGCATTCCAGCTGGATGGGGGGGAGACGTGTGCGGGGATTTCCGTGAAGTGGCGCGCGCTTCCTCCTCTCTCCGCGCGATACTCGCTCGTCCCGTCGATGGGGAAGAAAAGGAAAGAAAGGAGGAAACGAAGAACGAGCGACTTGGTTTCGATAACGGCCGTCGAGAATTACGAAGCTAAAACTATTAATCTTCGGCTAACAATCACCGTCGTCGTATCCTCTTGAATCCTCCGAGGAACAAATGGCCGGCACTTTCGCGTGCTTCGCGCTCGCTCATGCGCGCGCGCGCACCCGAAGCACAGCGTCGGCGTGCAAACACGAGGCGCAACTTTCTCGCCGAGGTAAAGAGAATGCACTGGGAAAACTTTGACAAAATGCTCTTTACGTATTTCTCGCGGCTGTCGCGAGAAGGAGGAGAAGATCGGGTAAACGGGACATTGAACGAATATTCCATTTCTCAATGGCGAAAATCTTCGGTCACCACTTCCCTCTTCCTCCGATTCGCGCACGCGAAGAGGGCAGCTAAACTTTGATGCGAATAGGAAAAGAAGCGCGTACAGCGGATGCATTCGCTCTCGATGTACACGCGGAAAATGCACGACGGTTTGTTACAACGCAAACCCCGATCGTCGAATCGCGTTAATCGTGAAACTAAGCTCGTTAATTGGACGTTAATACACACTCTGGCGCGATTCGGTCAATCTTTCGCGAGAACGGTGCTCGCTTTCCAGATCGTAGGCCTCCGGCCGTGACCTCGTTTGCTCGGGCAATGAAACGTTCCTTCCCAGTGAGGGTGAGGAGAATAAACAGACATCGTGGTCGACGTCTGTTTCGCGGGTTTTTCCCCACTTATCGGACGAACAAGTCTAGACGATGGGGGGGGGGGGCGCTAACGAGCCTCGATTAAACTCATTAAGGAGCCGTAATATTCGA